CCTTCCTTCCTTCCTTCCTTCCTTCCTTCCTTCCTTCCCAGGTTTCCCTCTTCCCAGGACCGCTAGAAGCCGCTTCTCCGCTCTTCTCCACCCCCACCTTGAAGAGAGCGAAGCAGCCAATCTGGCGCGGGAGGGGCAACCCTAAAAGGCTTGGCAGTTGGGACACGAGCACGTGCAGCGCGGCCCCGCTGGTCAGCGCTTTGACCACAGGCTCCGACAGAAAGGTGGACAGGACGCCGAGCTGCAGCGCGAACATGCCCAGCTGCGGGGGAGGAGATGCGCAGTCACTGCGGGAGCGGGAGCGGACCCGCCGGAGCGCACCCCTCCCGCCTACACCCACGCGGGACACTTGTCCCTCCCTCGCTCCTGGCCCAATTCCCCAGGGGCCCCCACGTGGATCCCCCAGGATCCTCCCTCACCATCAGCGCCCCGCTTCCGAAGGCCAAGGCTGCAGCCGCCCCAACCCGCTGAGCGTCCAACTGTTCCCTCTCGATTCCACTCAGGTTACCCCCGAGGGGTTCAGGCACCAGCCGCTCCACGGCCGAGCCCGTCATGAGGCTGAGAACCGCGAAAGTTCCTAGGGCCGGGGGACAAACGCGGAGATCACCAGCTGTGCCGCCTGGGGCGCGGTGACCGCCCAGGCTCGGCGCCCTCTGCCGGGCTGCGGCTGTCAGACCCCGCTCTCCCAGATGGCCGCTGCTCAGGTGAAGGCAGTGGGGCGGAGACCTAGTGCAGCAGCCGGGAACCCGCGGCGAGGGAGAGGCGGGAGCGGCCGCCGGCAAATACTGCCCCCTAGCGGCCTCGCGGCCTCCTCCTGCAGGCGCCCCGCGGACCGCGCGCTCCTCTGGGGGACCGCCCGCTCCTCTAGGGGACCGCGCGCTCCTCTGGGGGACCGCGCAGCTCTTTCCCCCTCTTCCAAGTCCCGGAGATGTTCATGTAAACCAAGTTTCATGGGGGAAGTAAAGTCCGAGGACACTCCCTTCTCTTTGCACCCACTCAGCACCCCCTCCCCCCCCCAACCAGCAAGCCTTGCCTAGGTCCGAGGTTCCTGGCAGGGTAACTGCAGAGGCGGAAGGGAAGCAGGGGAGTGGAAGAGGGGAATAAGAGCTAAGGAGCTCGCAAGAACCGAAGCCTCAAACCCCTGTCCATTTTCACCCCACAGAGAAGGAGAGGAGTCACCGGGTCACTCACCGGTGGACAGGTGTCTCCCAGTACCCAACAAGGTGTAAATGAGGACGGGGAAGAAAGAAGTGTAGAGTCCGAACACTGGAGGCACGGAGGTCAGGAGGGCAAAAGCCATGCCTGGGGGAGAAGTGGAAGGAAAGATCTTCGGGATGTGTGTTGTGTGTGTGGGGGGGGGTGGCTGGGGGCAGGTGACCAGCCTCCAGAACGCCCCCCTCTCTACCCACAGTCTTAGAGGTTGGCATGGAGACGCTAAATCATGCCACATGAGGGAACCGAGAGGTTAACAGGCCTCGGTGGGAGGTCGTGGGGCAGACAAGGTCACAGATCCGCGTCGGCCCAGACAGGGGGGTGGAAGTGGGGGGCGGGGGGAAGCAGGTGTGTGCCTCTCTCCAGTTCCCTGACCCGGAACGTGTCCAAGACTCCTCGAAGGATTGCGCAAATGAGGGGAGCTGGGGGTAGGGTATCTGATGCGGCTCGGTAGTCCTTACCCAGAACTTGGTCTCAGATCCTGTCTCCGAACCCTCAGCCACACCACCCATCCTCTCGCTCCCGGGTTCCCAGCTCCTGCGCCTTCCCGACGCCCTCCAGAGCTCCGGCCCCAGACAGGCTAGTGTTGGGGCCGCTCACCCTGGGGCACGTGCACGATGCCCACGGTCACTCCGGCCACGGCATCCCCGAGCAGCCAGGCCCGCCAGCGGTAGTGGGGCAGCCAACGCAGCGGGGGCAGCCGCGCCAGCAGCAGGCGCCACGCCCCCGGTCCGGAGCCAGCGCGGGCCCGCCGCCTCCACCGTCTGCACAGACGCGACAAGCGGGGCTCGGCGAGTAGCTCCGGCTCCTGCTCTGCGTCCCCGAAGAGCTGCTGGAACCGAGCCTCGGTGAGCGGTTCCCTGAACTTGGCGCCCAGGGGGAACTTAAGGTCGGAGGCCTCTCCCAGGCATGGGCAGGTCCTGGCGCCCGGTAGCCCAGTCATTTTGCCCTTGGCCACCTCCAACCCCGCCTAGTCTTAAATACCCCTCCACCCGCTAGCCCTGAGTCCCGCCTCCGTGAAGCAGGGCCCAATCCGGCCCCGGAGGGCGCCCTCTCATGAGGGACCTTCAAGGGCCCGGAGATGGCAAAGGCTTTGGAGAGAGGGCGTCTCTAGGTTAGGTGTTTCCTGAGACATCCTTGGCGGGACCGCTCGCTCTGGAGCCTGCTGGGGTGGGGCGAGGGCGGGGGAAGGGGGAAGGTGTGTGGAAAGGTGTAGGGACAAGAGATACAGCGCACTCTCAACACCCAACACCCACTTTTTACCACTCCTAAGCCTTTTGACTCTGGCCTCCTGGCTGTGAGCTCTTTCCCCACTGGCCCTTTGGGAGGAGATAGCTGGCTCCTCCAGAGTGACCCATCATTTCCAGAGCCTCTGCGTTCTCCCCAAGAAGATTCAGTGTGCCCCCCAACACACACATGCCTCTCCCCCAGACCCAAATCCTCATGGGGTATACAGCTTGTCCCAAGAGATGCAAGAGGCTCTGTTGGCAGAGCAGTCTCACAGCCTGCCAAGATGCGGCTCAGCTACAGTATGGGACAGGGATGACAGAGAACCACCACCCACACCTCTACTGGGAGCTGGGCCTCAATTCCCAGTTCAGGGCTTCAGAGGAAATACTGAACTGATCGCAAATTTTGATTTTTACTTCTTAGAAACCAAAAAACTTGAAGTGCCATTTATTACATTCAAGTGCTATTTACAAAGTTGGCACTCCAAAACACATTTGTGGTTAAATTAAGTTCAAATGGGTCATGCACCCACCTCATGTACCTCTGTGGTCCCTCAAGAGATACAAAGGTTCTGGGATCCAGAATCCTGCTATTTTCCCCACCCCCTCCTCCATTTACAAGAATACTTGGCATTTCTCCCCATCACCCTCTGGTCCCCAGTCCCTGACCCCAAAGCCCTGGGGGTGGGGTACAGTGAGGGTGGGTCTCCCCTCTTCAATTCCTCCTATTGTTCCCCAGAAGTCTTATCTGGGCTGTACGTCCTGTCCCCCCCTTAGAGGTCCCTCCCCCCATTGTCGGCCAGAGGGACCTCAGGCCCACAGGGAGGCTCCAGCTCCTCCTAACCATCCCACCCCAGCAGCCTATTGTCTGCTGAGGAAGCCCAAGTACACGTGACCAAGCCCAGGGGACGAATGGACACAGTGGACACACAGATGCCCAAGGACCCAGGACAGGGCATCTGGATATGGATCTCTGCATGTTTGGCTTTCTCCGTCCCAGGGGCTATCCCAGAAGTTGGGAGGGGTGAAGACCCCTTCGGGCTGTCCACTCTTGGGTCTGTGGCTTGAAGAAGAATCCTTTCCTGCTCACTACGGATATGCCTTGTGACCTCGCAGACGGCAAAAAGGAGAACCCAGAGCCAAAAAGGGCCACAGGCCCCAGCATCCTCTCCACCTCCCCATTCTCCCTCAGCTGAGCATGGAGGCCTCAGAAGGAAAGGTACTTGGGCATTTAATGCTTTAGAATCTGGGTGCTGGGGAGATGGTGGGAAGTCACACTACACTGGGCTTTCCAGTGGGGTCTAGAATGGAGGCCAGATGGAAGAGAAAGCAGGCTGGGAAAGGGGAGGATATATCACGGATCTCAGGTTTTCCAAGTTCCAGGTCTGGACTGCGAGACGCCGCAACTGCAGGTGAGGGACACAGGCAGCAACACCGTGTGTCCTCTTATTACCAGACCGTCCGCAGGCCAGTGGATTTCTCCCCATCGTCTCACCCCACTTCCCCTTCCCTCTGCCAGTACAGCAGCCTTAGTGATATCACAAAACCTTTAATCTCAGAAAACTGAAAAAAAAAAATCAAAGTCAAAACCAATCATTTTTATCTGGCCCCTGCCCCAGCCCTCCCACCCACCCCCATATCCTCCTTTTGGGGGGACCTGTGATGCATGCGTAGGGGTGGGCGCTGAAGGAACCTGTGTTCCTTAAGCAGAAAGAAGTCCTTCTAAGTCTAGGAATCCTCCTCCAAGTCAACACCACTCCCAGCCTTGCCCCCCCCTCCCCCGCCAGACACATCAAGAAGGAATTCCAAGGTGATGTCAGAAGGATTGCCCTGAAGTTCCTCAGAAAATGGGGTGGCTGGGTCAGCACCACCCCAGGCCTTCACCACTTAGAGCTCATCTTCATCCAGCTTGGCAAGTCTGGCTTGGCAGGGAGGGGTGTTTGGAATTGGTGGAGCTGGAGGAGAGTCACGAGGAGCTCGGGGGATGTCACTGAGGGCCTGAAGAAAGACTCAAGTTAGAGGAGAAAAAAAAAGTCCCGGAATCCACCCTCACCCCTTTCTTTTCAGTGTATGCCCCTAGCTAAGCCACCTCCTCTTGCTAGACATCTTAGATCATCTAAGATCGTCAGCTTCTCCCAGGGTTAAACTGGAAGGGGGAAGGTAAGAGTAGGGAAGTAGGAAGGGGCAGACAAAAGGCAGGTGGTAGAAAAAGGGAATGATATGGGGGAGGAGGATTTAGGGATCCCAGAATAAGAGAGGCCCTCCCCATTCTGCCCCCATAACAGGGGAACTCCTTTCCTCATACCTGTGTGTCCACGGGCAGGGGGGCTCTGGCCACCTCCCCTTTGGGCAACAGCAGCAGGGAGGGGAGAGAGCCATTGATGGGTGCATGTGTGCTGACCTGGGCCCGGTCTCCAGGCCGAATTCTCCCAGGACTCCCCACCCCAAGCCCTCCTGGCCGCCCCAGGCTGTTGGTCTGGCTCTCTCGTCTCTGATACTCAATGGGTGACTGCAATGCTGGGGCAAAGAGAGGAACAGAAGGAGGGTTACAACAGGTTCTTTCCCTAAGGGCTCTGCCCAGATCATCTTCCCACTTTGCCCTCCTCCCACGAACTGTCAGCCATTGTAAATTGCTGGGGAGATGGGGAGAAGCTGGGGTCAAGAGGGCAGGGATTGGAGATTGGGCAGTGAGGGATTCAGGAGGTCAAAGGGCTTAAAGAGCATGTCAGGGAGGGAAGGGTGAGAGCTTCACCATTGAGAAAGTCCCGCTGGCTTTCCAGGATCTGAGCCACTTGCTTGATCCAGGCCTGACTCACTGCAGGGTCTGCAGTCTGCAGGACATAGCGCTGGATCCCACCCTCTGGCCCTCTGGAGGTCAGTGCAAAGCGGCAAGGGTCACCTTGGAGGTTCCCCTCCAGTCCCAGGCAGCTCACCTGGATTGGCAAATAGGAGAGAGCCCCCAGATTCTTTAGGCCCTCTCTGGTTCCTGTCCCCTCCAACAAATGCAAGAGCCAGACATTCTTTCAGAGGCCTCGCCCCATCCCAGCCAGACCCCTCCCTTGCGGCCTCCTCCCCACCTTGATGCTGCTCTTGTATACATATCCAGCCTGTGATCCTCCTCGGACTCCTCCTCCCAGGGCCTCACTGAAGATGACAATTTGCTCGAAGAGGAAGACACGTCTCTCTCGACCCCGGGAGGACAGCAGCCCCCCAGCCTCGGGCTCTGTGACCCAGAATGTGTCCTGGCCCAAGAGCTTCCCCTGAGCAGTCAGTTTGCCCTAGAACCAAAGGGTAGTGATTTTGAGAAAAAAAGCAAGCAGAGAAAAGGGACATTCTCTGCTCCTCCCTCCTTCCCCTGATGCTCCCAACCAACCATGGGGTCAGTCCCAGGGGAGGGACAGTTCCCCACGAGGACCTCCCGAGTGCTCAGACTGGGGCCAAAGAGCATTGGGCCTCCAATTTCCTGTTCTAGCCCCATACCTCAAACCCCCGAAGTCTCCCCAGGGTCATCATGTCATTGCAGCACTTGGGTACAAAGCACATGACCTCCACAGCGTGCTGGGTCGCAGGTGAAGAGAGGAGCATTGTCATTGTCGAGAAAGAGCCTCTTCAGACCATGTTTCAACTCTCAACCAACCTCCGCGTAAAAACCAGACAGCTCAACACCACCCAAGGAGCAGGGGGCGGGGGAGGGGGGAACCCAGGAGACCAAAAAAATAAGAGGTATGTGGTGTGTGTCCTAGCAGATTTGGCAGTCCTCACCTCCAGCTCTTCAGTATCCATCCCAGCTCTACTATAATATTTGAGAAAATCCTAAGATGTAGAAAAGAAATGCTCAGGGAGGTCTTGAGGACACCCTCAGAAACTCTCACATCCTCCCCCTGAGGACACAGGTGAGGATGCCCAGGAAGTCTGGGGGGAGCCTTAGGAACCCTGGGGAGATGAACGAGAAAAGGGCTGTCCCAGCCAGCGGAACCCCCAGGGAACAGGTGCTCCTGACCTTGAGCAGCAGCTGGTATTTCATGATCCTCTGCACTGGTTTGATGAGGAGGTCGTTGAGCTGTAGGCGGTGCCCTAGCTGCTGCCGGAGCTCCTGGGGACAGGAATGTGGTTATGCAGCCTGGAGAGCCTGATGATTCTGTCCCCTTTCCCCCAAGGTCCCTCAGCCACTGACCTCAAAGTAGCTGTCCCCAAATTCTGACACCACGTGCTCTGACTTGGGCTTGTTCTGACAGTACACCACGTACATATGCAGCCGGCGCTCCTAACAGGGGTCAAGGTGAAGGAGCGCAGGACGGGTGAGGAGAGAGAACACCTCTCTCGGGAGCCCGGACCCACACCCAAGCCCCGCCCCTCCAGGACCACCCTCTTAAGCCTCACGTGTTTGATGAATAGCTGAGCCAGCCAATCAGGATCCTTCAAACACCGCCGTAGCTCCTGCAGGAAATAGCTGGAGGGGTTGGCAGGGAAAAGGCTGGTCAAATACCCCAACCCCACGCAACTGAGAGCTGTCTACCCTGGTTGTGATCAAGCCGCTCCAAACGTTCCTCAGGCAACAATGGCCCCTGGCTAGGTTACAGAGAAAACGAGACATACGCCCTTCCCCCTCACTCTCGGGGATCCACCACTCACTCTCGATGCCACTCATAGATTTGCTGGATGTTCCCAAACACAATCCTGTCACGGCCTCGAAGACTCTCCGGGACCCCCTGAGCAGCCATGGTGGCCATGTAACCCTGCAGGAAGGTTGGGGCGGGAGCATGAGTGTGGGGGGCCAGCCCTGGTGGGGAAAACCCCTCCCCCAAGAAGTCCAGCATGTAGAGGGTACTGGGAAGGTGGGACAGAGGAGTACTAAGGCATCTCCTAAAATTAGCCCTGAGCAGAGGGAAAGGGCTGGGCTGCGGCTGGGAAGAGAAAAGGGGACTACCTCCACAATCTGCCCCAAGTCGTCCACATACATTTTCTCTGTCTCTACCAGTTCGCTCAAGACATACCTGCGAAGAGAGCAGGAGTGCACATCTTTGGTTTAGCCACTTCCTCCCTCCTGGACTAGAAGCCCCTTCACTACCAAGCCAACCTCAGAGGAAATTCCAAGTATTAAATCTAAAATGTGAGGGACAGTTTCTGGAAGTTGCACAATGGGTTGGGGGGGCAGAGGGGAGGGAGTGTGTGAGAACACTTACATACTCCTTTCCAGAGCCTTCCTCTTCTGTTCCTCCTCACTCTCAGGGGCTTGGGACAGAGTCTCCTCCTCAGGTGGCTGGAAGGAAAGAACATCCTAGAGTAAGTAGACAGATGCTTTTGGGGAAGCCATGCAGACCCATTTCTTCATACCTCTGTCTTATCTCCAGGGCCCTCCAACAATGTGGTCAGCAGGGTGAGTTCTGGCAGCTCCTCTCCTGTGGCTAGAGCTGGTTCCAGCATCCAGTTCTGGGAGCCAGAGGTCATGTGTCAGAGGTCATGGACAGTAGCTATGTCTCCCCAGTGGCCAGTGGCCCCCAACCTGCCCTCTCTCCCAGTGTCCTTCATGGATGTCCTACATGCTTTTGTGGTGCTCCCTGCTCACCTCATATGGTCCAGCCTGGCCACCGTCTGCCTCAGTTTCCACACTGAGGCAATGTTTGGAATGATCCAACCATCTTCTCAGGCCACTGACTGGCCCTGGGGGGCCCGGGGAACAGGGGCCAGAGCTGAGGCCAGAGCTGGGGCCAGAGGGGGCAGCCAGACCCGAAGCAGCTGAAGCTGAGATACTCCCCTCACTGCCAGCAATGGAATAGGATTCTAATGGGGAGCGGGGGGGAGGGGGGGGAAGGGGCCATAGATATTATTCCAGCTCTAGATTCAGGGTCCCTAGGGAGCTCCCAGAGGCCCTTCTTCATGATGCTGAGCCCTCCCCCAGGGCCCACTCTCTTGCCATCCTCATTTGAGTTGGCCAGGATAGAAAATTTCCCCTGGGCACCCTTGGGAGGAAGGACAGTAAACACCTGGGCTCCCAAGGCCTGGAAGCTCCAGTTATATATGGAGGCTCCCCCATATCCTGAGTATGCCATAGATATGGAGGGGCAGCCATCTGGGGAGACACTGGAAGCTGGGGGTGGCCATCTGCTCTCCTACAAGCTGCCCCCTTCCAATGGGCACAGACCATTCCCTGAGAAGGTGGGGGGGGAGCTAAAAGCCCATCTGCCACCCCCAGACCCCTCCTGCACCAATTGCAGTAATCACTATAAAAAAAAAGACTTCTGCAGCCCATCTCCCCAACACATGCACAAACCCAATTGCGGGGTGGGGGGAGGCAAGTGAGGAGAGCTCATCAGGGTTATCTTTGTCCTGGGCTCAGGAATAGAGGATCTGAGATTTGTCATAAAGCCCTGGTAGACCCTCATCCTCATTCCTCCATTCCTCTGTCCCTCTTCAGATCTGTAGTAGATTGTCAGCAAAAGGATTTAAGGAAGACCCAGTTCTAGGCCCAGGGGGATTGTGGATGGGTTCTTCTCATACCCAGTTGACTGCAGGACAGAGAGAAGAGTTTCCTGCCCCTTCCCCAATTTCCTTAACTTGAACTGATTACAAATTTGGAGGCAGATGAGATCTTGGAGATCTACTAAGTCACTTCCCTGGAAAACACAGGTACAAGTCTCCAGCCTCTAAATCCCTAGGGCCAGGTCAGACTAATGCCCTGAACCCTCAGCCCGCCCCCCACTCAACGCCGGGCCCTGGCGACCTCGCACTCACCACGACCCCCCCGGGCGAAGCAGCAGCCGCATTTTGCCAGCACTTTTCGGATCACGTGGGGACAGGCACAGCGACCCCCCTTGTGCCCCCCCCGCATGGCGCCCGGGCCCCCCCGCACCCTCCACCCGGCCCGGCCATGCAGGGGGAATCACGGGGGGCGGGGCGGGGACGGCGCAGGGCGCACACCCCCCCTCCCTCCTACCCCGCTCCAGGCTGGGGGAGGGGGGGAGGGAGGGAACAGGGAGGGGGCGTCCAGGGGTAGGCGGAAGTCTGGTCTGGGGGAGGGCTGGGGGCTCTGCAGAGCCGGCGGCGCGAGGCCGGGCAGCCGAGCTGGGCGGGGAGGGTTTCCGGAACCCAGTCGGTGCGGGGCCCAGGGTCCAGATGTCCAGCGGGGCGGGGAGGGATGGTGGGGGAAGCTGGGCTGGGATGCGGCAGCCGCTCCAGCTCGGTCTCCGGCCTCTCGGGCTTGGGGTGGTTCTAGGCCCGGGCAGGGAGGAGGCGGGGACCGACTCCCCGAGTCACTGGCGCTGCGCGGGTCCCGGCCAAACGGCGAGCCGAAGAACAGGCCCGGCCGCGGTGCCGCCGCGGGGAGGGGCCTCTGCGGCCCAGCTCCGCCCTCTCCCTCCGGTTTCCCCCCTTCAGCCTGTGCCGGGCTCCAGCCCCAATCCCCCTCCCCCAGGCACCACCACGTTCCCACTCCAAGTCCCCACCGCCTCCGCCTCTCCTCTCCAGCCTCGGCTCCCCTCCCCGGGTTCCCCTCCCTCCTGCTTCTCGGGCTCCCGACTGCGGAGCGCAGGGGTCGGGGGTAAGCCGGCCGGCGGGGTCTGCCCAGGTCGCCCCTCCGCCTCTGCGGTGGAGAAGGGTGCGGATGGATGGGCTGGGCCTGTGTGAAGACGTCCTGGGGGCTGGGACCGTCCCTAGCCGCGCAGGGGTAGACAAGCCCCCTCCCTTTCGGGGATGCGTGAATGGGGAAGCTCTGTGGGGAACGCAGCCCAGGTGCCGCCCTCTCGCCAGACCCTTCTTTCCTCCAGGCCCCAGGACTCCAGCTGAGGCTAATCACCAATTAAGGCGAAGTCCTGGAGGCCGGGCTGGCGAGGGGCCAGGGGGGCACCGGGCGTTTGGAGGAGGCCTTGTTGGGCAAGGTACGGGAAGGGAGGCCGAAGGCGGTGCGGTGCGCGGCTGGCGAGGGGCCAGGGGTGGAGCGCGGGGACACTCCGCCTGCGGGGGCTCGGGACCGGCTGATGTGGGGGACGCACAGCGGACTAGAGGGCGAGAAGCGTGGAGGTCTTGGCAATTAAATGGGTCTCATGCAGATTAGATGCAAACCTTTATGCTAATAAGAGCAGCATTATTTGAATTCGCCACTCTGCGCAGGAGGGCAAACTGTGCCCCACCCCACCCCCAGCTTCTTACCGAGCAGCGGAGCCCAGGCGGGGACCTCACGTTCGCGCTCCCCTTTCTGATCCCCCTCGGTACAGTCAGACTCTGTCTCGGTCCCTCCTGGCCCTAGGGGGCTTCTCTTCCGGGGCTGTGGAGAAAGACTGGTGGTAAGGAAACCGCCCTCCACGCCCAGCCTTGACCTCCTGCTTCTCCTTGGTCCTCCTGTCAAATCCACATTGTTGTAAAAGGGTCGCTTAGGCTGGGTTGGAGGGAGCGGTTCACCCAGACCAGGGCCCTGGCCCTCTTTTGGAACTCATGGGTTCCTGCAACTGCCCTGCAGAATTCCTGTTTGCGGGTAAATTGAATTGTGGGGTGCAGACCTCCTGGAGCCCCCTAAAGATTCCCGACCCCACCGTGGTCCCCCTTTCTTACCCCCTCCTGCCCGGGGAGGGCGCATGCGCGCAGCATGCCCCCCATGACCCCCAGTATCCGGTCAGTGCGGCCAGGGGCGGGGCGGTCCGGGGGCTTCATGCTGGACCCCTACCCTGCTCCAAGTTTCAGGGCCGAGGGGGCACGGAAGCTGGGGGGCTCTAGGCCTGCGCGCGTCCGGGGAGTTGCTGCTGTGGAATCCGCCCCCTGCCCGGCTCCGCCCCCACTCCCACCCCAGCCAAACTTCTCAAAGGGCTAGGGTTGTTGCTTTCTCTACAACCGAAGTTCAGCAACAACCCCTCTTAATCCCGATTCCGACGTGGACGCGTCAGGAGCCCACTAAATACGTGCCTTTTCCCCAGGCGCTCTGGAGGCAGAGACTGGGGAGACACACAGGGATTTCCCCGATCACCACCCCCTTCCCCTCCTCAGCAGGTTCCGCTCCCCACCCCACCCCCACCCTGGTTCACAGAACAGAACGGGTGTGGCATAGAGAGTTGCATATTTTACTTTATTTTTATTAAATTAAAAGCTACAGTCTGGCGGCGATTCCAGAACAGGGCAAGGAGGCTCCTTATAGGGGGCAGAGCGGGAGACAGACTGACAGAGACGGAGACACAGGACAGAAAGGACAAGGTTAAGGTAGAAGGGGGACTGTTTCTGAAGAACACACAAGGCCAGCTCCTTGGGGGCTCAGCTCAGCCCCATGCCCCCTCCGCCACACCGAAGTTCAGCAGTGGAGCAGTTTGTGGGGGCAGGGGGCTCAAGAGACCCTCCTTCCCCACCCAGGTCCTTTCTCAGCTTAGTCATTGGAGCACAGCACATACCAGAAAAAGCCAAGGGCAGTGGAGGGGGTAGGGAGATTGGGAGTATGTACAGGGGGAGGAGGGGAGCAGAGCCTGGGAGATCCCTCTGCCAGAAGGGAGTGGTTCACACTGCACTGAAGCACTCGCCTGTGGGGGGACAGGGGAAGGGACTGCCCTCCCTCTCTGAACTCCTTCCCCAGTCAGACTGGTCCCCTATTCGTGTGGTGTGGGGGGCAGAGGGAGAGAGGAGAACAGAGGCTTCCGCTGGGTCCTATGGAGAAAGACAAGGGCTTGGCAAAGGGGATGGCCTTCAGTCATCTGTGATACCCTTGGCTCTCAGCTCTTCTTGCACCCGGGTCAGGTAGGTGGGGTCTGGGTACCCAAACCTGGGAGCAAAGAGAAATGAAGGTCAGGATTAGCTGTTGCAGCTTACTCATATTAGCCTCATGTTCACCCTCATTCTGGGTGCCCCAGTCCAGCCCCTCCCCACCTCCCCTAAGGATATCCAAACCCCAGGTAACTTAGCCCAATTCTGCTTAGTTTTGTAGGTGAACTGGGCATACTGGACCAGGTTGAATGTAGAGAAACTGGCATGGAAGAGATGGTTGAATAGTTTGGGGGTGGTCCTCTCCAGTTAGGAGGCTCCCAGCAGGAGAGGGGATTAATGTCATTCCCTCACTGGAAATGGAGAGAAGGGGAGGGGCGAAGGGAAAGGAAATGAAGAAGGGTCGCACAGCTGGGGTCCCCCTGTGCAGCTGGTCTTGTGGTGGATGTCGTTCCAGGTGATGACATTCGGTCTCCCTGTGGTCATGGACGTGCCGATAGTGAAGGTGAGTCGCTGGTCAAATGCCTTGCGGAACAGGGTCAGCACCTTGTTGCCCTCAGGGCAGTCCGGGAGGTAGGCCACCCGGGTGGTGCCAGGATAGCGAACTCCTGGGTTTGGGTGTTCAGCCTGGGAGGGAGGGGAGGCAGACAGGACAGTGAGCAGCTGGGCATCTGAAGGCCCACCATGCCACCAGAGGGTCATCCTGGCTGGCTGTCTGTCTGTGCACCCCCAGCTAATGCTGACAGGGCAGCAACAGGCTGACAGCCTTTCAAGGAAGGAGAGACTTCCTTGAAAGGTTTGGACAGCAGGAGCCTGTTTCTGGACAAAATCCTTACTATTAAAGAAGTTCTTTCTGCTGCCTCCATCCCTCAAGTCTCAATTCAGCGACGAGTGGATTCTCAAAAGAGATGGGAAGTAGCCGGTCCTTACTCACCAGATAACTCAGCAGAAATGTGAAGACTGAGAATAAGCTATCTTTCAGCCTTCCCTTCTCCACCTGAGAACGCTCCCAAGCCTCTTTGCCTGCCTGACCTGTTCCATTTGCCCATTACTCTTCTTCAGAGCTTCGCCGGCCCTCTGCAAACCAGGACTGAGAATTACTCTTGCTTGGTCAAGCAGGAGGAGACCTCTAGGCTCCTGACTGCTCCCGTTTTAACCTTCCACTGTCTCATCAATCGGGAACAAAGTAACACTCAGTGCCCTGCGAGGAGGGTTAGCCCCCTTCCTGCTGCGCCCGCTGGCACCTGAGTCACCATCTCCACAGAATTCACCCCTGCCAAGAATAGTTGTCGACATCCAAGTTCATCAGGGAAATAGTATTCAATTCCTTTCTCTCATACCTGATTTTCATGTGTGCCTTCGGGTTGTGGGACAGAAAAGCTGGGCCTGAAGGGGACCTCCTAGCTCCGGGGCACTGAGTGGGAAGGCATACTGGGAGACAGCAAGACTACGTCACATCTAACAAATACACTCCCCTTCACCCAGTTTGCCTAGGTCAGAGAACGCGCTTGGGGAGAACCAAAGTGGGGAAAACCAAAGGGCAAAGGCAGGCCATAGGTCTTCTTACCCCCTGGACACCGGGCGGGAAGACGTACTGGATGACGATGGTGCCATACTTCTCATAGCTGGGCAGTAAGAGTGTGGCGTCCTTAGAGACCAGCATCCGCCCATTCTGGGGCTGGTTGCCCACCAGCTGCCCATAGAAGCGGCCACACATGGGACAGGCCTTTTTCACCTGCAGGGCCCGGGTGATGCAGCCCTCACAGAATGAGTGCCGACACTTCTCCAATGTCTTGGCGTTCTGGATCTCCCCCAGACAGATGGGGCAGGTGCTCTCTTGTTCTTCAGCCTCCTCCCGAAGGCGGGGAGGAAGGGGAGGGGGGAGGGGAGGGGGAGGAGGAGGGAGCCCCCGAGCCCCTGGGGGCAGAAGCGGGGCTGCTCGCAGAGGGGGAGGGGGGGGCCCTGGACGGTGTAGCTCAGGGTGCTCCCCGCCACCCCCCAAAGCCAGGCAGCCCATAAGCTCGCCCTGCCTCTGAGCTTTCTTCAGCTCTTTCTCAGCCTCTTTTAGCAGCCCCTTGAGAGCCTTCCGGGCCAGGTAGAGCCCATTGGGAGGGGCCGGGGGAGGGCCCTGCGGGGAAAGCTGGAGGACATAGATGTCAGAAGTCTCGCCATCTATGAGGATGGACACACGGTGCTCCTCCCGAAGCCGGGCCAGCCGGGCTGGGGTCTCCTTGCTCAGGAAGTCCCACACAGGCTTGGAGACAGTCACTTTGTTCTTGCAGGTGCCTCCACAGGCTGCCATTCTGGACAGGACGAACGACACTGCCCCCAGGGTGAAAGGGACTCAGGGTGGGGGGTCCCCGTTTGACAAAATCAGTGCCTCCTACTTCAGGTTCCTCTCCAACCCTATATTACCTCTACTATCTCAGAGTCCAACCCCCAACTCCTCCCCCAAGTTCATTTTCTGTCTCCTCTTATCTTTCAAACCCCAGCACCCACTGAAGAGCAAGAAAGTTTATCTAACTTTATTATCATCATCTGAGCTAAGCACCAGTCTTGGTTCTCTTTATACTCCTCCCAAGATCACAGAAACAATCTCGCCCTCCTCCCTCTGGGTGAAAACTGGCTTCTTTAAAGGGGAGGGAGACTTTGTGCTCACTTTGATCCTGAAGAGCTTAGAATTGGCATGCAGGCTCTCTCTCACTGTCCCTGCTCCCTACTTGTAGGTTGTGTGACCTGGTGGGTGGAAAGGAAAAGGAAGGAAAGTGAGAAACCCCGTACCCCCTTCCCACATGCGCCAACACAGCAGCCCATGTAACAGAAGACTGGGAACCTGGGTGTAAGTTACTGGGAATGGGATTACTTGGCACATGGAATGGACGAAACCAATTTAAAGGCGAAGCTGAGTTTCCCCTGGGAGGCAGATACCTGGGAAGCCCATGGACAATGAGAGCAGCAGAAATCCCTCTATTTCCACACTCAGCTGACCAGGACTAGCGGGAAGGGGGAGAGTAGAGAGTAAAAGGTTATGATGACAAATGTTACCATACCCCCCTCACCCCACTCCACCAGCAGCCCAGAAACCAAACAAAAACTCCTCTTCCATTTCCTCTCCTTCTCTTCTGCAGAACTGCATCCCCAGCCTCTCCCAAGTTGCTAAAGATGGAACTTCAACATGCTAACTTTCCTCTTTTCTTCCCCAGCTCTGAGGCTCTCAAGAAAGCCTAGGGCACAGATAAGAGAAGTCAGGAAGGGAAAAGCCCACACAGATGGAGGTCTTTCTTGCCACCTCCCTCAGATCACATGGGTAAGAATATTACCTATGCTCTCCAACTCCTCACCCTGCCCCGTATTCCCAAATAATTCAGTCCCTATCGCTAGGAGCCTTCTTTGAGAGCTAACCCAGTCCCTTCTGCTGAAGTCTGTTTGGAATGCCAACAAAGTGGCAACAGCCCCTAAATAACGAAGTTCTTACTGTCACCTTTTAAACAACCCCCAGCCCCGCACTGGGGCAGTAAGCCTGTCAGCAACCCAGCCTGCATTTAGGGAGGTGTGGGGCTCAGCAGGGGCTCAGCTGGAGGAGACTTAGGTTTCCCCTGAGTCTTACCATGTTCAGCTACAGAGCTGTCCCTACAACACCTCCAAATGTAGCTCAAATAGAAAGAGGGGCCATTAGTGTGACCTCAATTCCTTGACTGATCCAAAGGGGAGCGGCTCTCTGTTTGTGCCTCCATCATAGTCCCCTCAAGGCCAGATGCACCTCGAGATTCAGAAAGTGAAACTGAAATCCTAGAACCTCAGCTCATTCTGTCTATCCAAGGTGGAACACCCCCCTCTCCATCAGTGGGAACCCAAGACCTAGATGTCCTTAGCTCCAAGTCCTGCTGGCACAGAAAAGGGAGGCGGGGCCACAGCTTATGCTGGGTCTCTGATTCTTCTGGGGCAACCCAGGCCGGACACAGGGCCAGTCCCTCCCTCCAGACGGCGGCCACACAGGGGCAGCGGGGGAAGGGCGAGGGTCCCTGGGGGCACCAACTGAGGCAGCCCCACCCATCCCCTATGACCTCCTGCAAGATCCAGAACCAATCCCCACGTCCCCCTCTCGCCGGAGCCCCCAGAGCCCCACCACTGGGTGGGGGTGCATGTCGGCCCGATCGCGGTTCCCAGAACCCCCAAATGGAGGCCAAAGCTGGAGGGTGATAGGAAGAGGATCGGCCAGGCGTGGAGGGGGCCCCCGGCGCCGCGCGCGGGTAAGGAGGCGGAGGAGGGGGCGCAGGGGGGCAGGGAGGGCGCGCGGGGGTTGCGAGCGGGGTCCGGGGGGCGCGCGGTGGGTGTGGGGGGCGCCGGGCTCACCTACCTCCCGTCAGCGCCGCCATTGCCGGTCACATGACTGAGGCTGTTGCTGGGATGACGGTCTGGGCCTTAGCAACAAGGGCGGGGGGAGACCCCGAGAAGGTGGGGGGGAGTTTGCAGAGGGGGTGCAGACTGAGAGAAAGGGTAGGAGGGAGGACGGCACCCGCTTCCCCCGTACAGGTGATAATCACCGTTTCCTTTGACCCCCTTCCATCCACGAGCCCCTGCCCTTCCGCCCCAAAACAAAAATGGAGGAGCCGTCCCAGTCTTTGGAGGGAGGGGGTGGCGTGTGGAACCGAGGGTAGGAGGTTAAATCTCTTAGACGCCACCCTTCTCGCTTCCCCCTCCCGGGGGGGGGGGGGGGGCTCTCCCTTTGCTTTTCCAGCCAGCTGCGTGGCAGCTTCTGCAGGCTGGTGGCGGATGGGTGGGCGAGGAGTGTCGGCTTAGGTAGGTGGGGAAGGGGGCAATTCTTCTGTGATCCTTATGCTATTGCTAGAAGGGACTTTGAGGAATAATTTGGGATGGGAAGAAGAGTCATAGTAAGAAAAGCACTGGTTCTAAAAAATAAACAAACCCCAGGACTAAACTATTTCAATCCCTTCCCTCCTCGCTTGCGTTTTCCTAGATTGTTACCTTCTGTGACCCCCACAACCTGCTCCCGGTTGGGTGTTGGTAAGTGCCTCTGACTTTTGTTTCCACAAACAGGGATACTGAGGCTAGTGCAGAACGGGGAGTGAATACCTCTTTTTAAAAAATGCCTTGGGGTGGGGGCTGGGGGTGTCAAGTCTATGGTTCAAATAGAGTTAAAAACTCAAAGGAAAAACAACTCTGCTCTGTTCTGCTTCCCACATCAGAGCAATCTCCGCCCCCAGTCCAATTCACTTCCCTGGGGCCACATCAAGCCAGGTTTTTCCACCAGCCAAAAGACCTCCTCGGCCAAACAGTACTGGATCTCCCAGACTGGCAACAACTTCTATTTATCCACCCCTTTTTTCACTCCCCCCCTCTGGGCTGGAGGATTGGTCCCTTTCTTCACTTTCCCAGGACCCCGTTGTACTCTTCCCGCTCTCCAGACAGAGGACATATTTCCCAGGAAGCCTAGGGAAACACCCAGTTCCTTATTTTAGCTCCTGCCAGTGTGCTCTGAGAGGCTCACCCACCTTTACAGGAATGGGTGTGTGATCAAGCCCAGAACCCTGGGGGAAGAGGGAGCGCCACATCAGCTGTTCTCCCTGGCCCCCCTATAGCTGAACTCCCACAAAGCCGGACAGTAAGTTTTCCATTCCCATGCACACCCCTCACAACCTTTTAAGTTCACAGCTATCGATCTAGAACCCCACATTCTTAGTTAGGGGCCCAACATCTTAATGATCGGAATTCTTCATCTGGTTTCCACACCCCGAAGCACAGGGTTCCCCAGAAAGGGGGTGGGGGAAGGCATGTCTGTGAAGGAATATGGATTCAATAGTTTATTTCCTATATAGTGACAGCAATGGGAGTAAATACACAAGATCTTTTTTATTAATTAATAAAACAAAAAAGATGAAAAACAGAAGCAACAAAATGAAGACCATACTGCTCATGATACATCAGCCACATGGTCAGAAAACCAATTTCTGAAGAGCGACAGCTGCTGGTGTCATGGAGTTTTATTGCATTCAACAGGGGAAAGGTAGACGGCTGGAATGAAAAAGATCAGCGGGCCCCTGATGGTAAGATATTATAGGGGCTCTAATCTTTAACTGTGGATTCCTCTTGTTACTTCCTTTGGAGAAGATGGAGGGGAGAGAGGAATTCTCCTTTATGACTGTATGACTTCTTGTGAGACAAATCAGTCCAGCTATATACAGTGCAAAGAATCCTTGCATCCCCAGAGGCCAGTTGCTAGTGCCCATCTTTATGTTAAAAAAAAAGTGTGGAAGCCATAAAGGGGATCGAGTGGAGAGTAGCAAGAATGGTTGCCTTAGCCCCAAAGGCATCAGGGGATGGGGAGGACACTATCTGGGTCATCAGAGTCCTCTACATTCTGAGACTATCACATGTCATTTCAACTCTTTGGAGGGGGCTGGGTGATTTGAGTCCTGGCTCTGACTCCTCTCTGGGGGTGGAGAGTGAAGATGACAAAGAAGTCCATCTGTCCCTTGGGAGACACAGTAGCAGTATGAGACAGAAAAGAACAGAATAACAAATCCAACTGGAGAAAGGATTTGAGATGGGACTGAGAAGGAAGTATGCTAGGTGCACACCTCCAAGGAGTAGAGCAGGTTCCCACACTTGAGTCCTTCATCCTCTTGAAGTGACCAGGATTGACCCAGGCAGAGATATTCCCTTCTGGTGGGAATAAAACCTCAGGGATGGATAGACATGAAGAGGGGAAATTTAGCACTGGGAATGAACCTTTTACCCTGGCCCATCATTCCAGCCTCCAAAACTGCCCACACCCCCCACTGAAGGGTTCCAGCCCCAGGAGGGGTGTGAGGTCCTGGTGAAGAGCAGTAGCAGTCCAATGTCTTCACCCAGGCTTGAACACTTT